CACAGACTAAATGCATTATTGCTATAATTTGTTTATTTCTTGTTTAACCCAAATAATGCAAATCTTTACAATGGGGTTAGTTGCTTGTTTTACACATTACCAGTATATTTTGTTACATTTTGCGACAACTCTCTTACAGCAAAATTATGTACTCTATTCAATTTAGAACATAGCAAGTAAAGCGACAGTAACATAAATTCTTTTCATAATTGGGTGCAATATTACCACAAATTTTTCACAACAATATTGTAGGACTTAATTCAAAACTATTTCTTTCCGTGCGAACTCTTTTTTTCGGTTGAACACTCCCGTTTGTGGTAAACTGCTTGACTGTACGGTGAAATGAAGTACGTGATCGAATTTTATCCGGAAAACGCTGAGCGTAGATATTAACAGCATGATCAATATTCCTGCCTGCTTCTCCATAAATCAAAACCATTTCTATTCTTTCTTCCACTGTTAAAAAATCCATTATGAATAACTGCTTAACGAAAGGAGGTATTTTTGTTTGCAAATTAATCTTCGAACTAAATTGTTTAAATAATGCTAAACTATAAATAGTTTCTTTATATCTCAATAATAATTATTATTTATAACTAAATACCATTTTTTATACCTCAATTTGGATTAAATTAATTAATTGCCAAAATATTGTTTTTTAACCTTAAATGAGGTATTTTTATTAAAAAAATTTTAATAAAAATAATACAATAATCCTTTAAACTAAAGGATTTAATGCTCGCAGGTAAAAAGTGACCATGGTGCGCAATTGATAATAATTATTATCACCGAATGAAATAATATATAAAACTTAATGAAATAATGTATAAAACTTAAACATTAGTTAAAAAATCGTGGGTACTTAAAAAATCAGATTTAATTTAATAAGTTAATTATTACCAAAAAAGTCATATTTTTATAGAAAAATTATTGCAGAGTCGAATAAGAAGAAAAATATAACAAAATTGATTTTTTCATTAAAGCGCCATCTATTACAAATATAAAAAAATGTTTTAGACAAAATCTACCTATTTTTAGTCGAATGATTCGAATCTGCAATAAAAAATAGGGTGTTCCATTGGAAAATTTAAAGTACTGATTGATTTCCCCCCTTCAATCATTTAATTTTTATTTCAAACATTTTTTCGTAAAATACTAACTGAGATATTTCAAAGTTTCAAGTTAAATGACTCACCCTGTATATATTTTATTTTTACTACTATATTGATGGCTTAATTAAGTTTCTAGAATTATATTTCCCGTCCCTTTATTTCGCGATTAGGTGATGTTGGCCACCTCGGTCTCCTGATTTGTCATCGTATGATTTTTTTAATAAGGAGAGACCTGAAAGGACGTGTACGTAAGCCTTTTACGTCAGACGAATTAAAGGATATTCCGTTAATAAATCAATGGTATCAACAGACCTACTGCCCTTCCAGCAACACATATAGTTTGAAATTTAATGAGGTTTTTAACTAATTTTTAATTTCTGCATATTATAAAAAATAAAATACAAAAGATTGAAAACTAATTGAATCTGAATAAAGCAACTTATTTTGTTAATGCTTTTTATTTGATGTTATGATTACTTTAAACCATTTGACATAAGTTCAATAAAATTATTTATTACATGTGACAGTTATTCCACAATTAAAATATACATGTATTGTAAGATTATTTATAACTATAGAAAAATAATAATAAAGTATCTATTAATTGTCCTTCGTCGCTCGTTTTATAAATTGTCCGCGTGCGACAAAAGGTCTTATGACATGAGTGCTTTATGCTATTTTATCTATTTTGCAAAAATTCTATAAAAAAAATAATTTAATTTGGTCGAATTTTACTTTAGATACTTGGTATCACAGTTAGTGTCAAAATCGATTCGCCATGCCGTCCATAATTTACTTATTTACAATAAGCGGCTGTTAATGTTAAAGAAGAAAAAAAGGATTTTATTTGGTGTTAAACAAAAAAACAAAGTACAAGAAAAATCATAAAAATATTATAACCAATATGAAAAATACTATGCTGTTTAAAGTTTAAAGCCAACCTATAAAATCAAAATTTTGGGTGGGATAAAGTATCTCATTACAGCATCGAAAGCGGTGTTATAATGAAGTCATTATAAACGCAAAATAGATACAAATATGTGTTTTGCTCCAAAAATACAGTTTATTCGGTTAAAATCGCACAATAAATAAAGATTTTACAGGGGTGTCGCAAATAAATGGGTCACACTGTATATATACATGTTTTTAATCAAATACTTTAACCAAGCATCTAAAATTGCTTCAGGTGGACAAAAATGTACCAAAATAAAGGTAATTTTCTTTTAAATCAAGATCTTGGTACTCTCCCAATTAAAACAATTCGAATAAAAATTCCCTTGAAAATGTTAACAAAAAAAATTTTTATACTTGAAAATAGCCATGACTTCAAACAATAATAACAATGGCACATACATACATTTTGACTATTAAAATTGCTAATTTTAAATGACGAATGTTATTCAGGAATTGTTTCCTGTTTTCATACGAGAAGGTACAGACCCTAAAAAGGAAGTTATAAATATTGGTTAATCTAATCCATCAACTAAAAAATACAGAACGTTTTTAAGAGTTAAAAGGTTTGGTATCTAACAAATAAAATGAGTAAAAAATTTCACTCTATTGATTATAATCAAAATATTTACCTATGAGGTATATCAAAAATAAAAAATTTCTCGAACGTAACGTACAAATATTACATTACAACTTGTAGCGCAATAAATCAATTTCCGTTTTTGCATAAATTGATGAAAGCCAGACGCAACGTTTCCCAATTTTTTTCACGCCCGAACCGTATAAAATAGTAGCAAATTAAATTTTGCAACATTAAGTGGATCACCTTATTTTGTTAGAAAGTTTTATCTAATAACGTATTGAAGATATCGATCTGCTTAGCCAAGTAAAAGAATAAACGCGAATGTAAAGTTTTACGTTTTACAGTGTTGAGTTTTTTTAAGCTTTCAAATAAAACGTAATGTCTATTAATACTAAGTTTCATTAACAAGTGGTTGGAGTGAGAACCGTGTATTTAAACATTTAATTTAGCCTTTAATAGTATATTATGAATCAGCTTTAGGTAAATTAAGGTTATTTCAAGAGTTTAAATTGATTATAAATAAACCAAATATTTAACTTATAAGTTAAAAAGTAAGTTATTTTAGAAGTTATGTACATAACGCTATATTAACTTCTTATTTTAACCTTTGAATATGGTTAAGACTAGTTTTTTTAGACATTTAGTTTATGTTTTTATATTACTTTTTGGTATACCAATTTATAAATTAACCACGGCTTTGGTTAATTTGGATATATTTTTTTAAACAAAAGGAAATGCCATTAATTTTAATAATTTGTTTTATTCAAAATTTAAGGTAATTTAAACAAACCAATACATTTTTCCATGTATTTTGACCCAGTAAACACGAAAGTAACAATTTTCAATTGCTTTTTTTTTCTATTTTCGGACGTGTTTTGACGTTTTTGAGTACAGCTTGAAATCTAATTTATCGATTTGGTCAAATTGAAGGCATTTGAGCCCTCTAAAACTTTCTTTTACAGACTTTTGATATCGGATAAGTATTTTGACGCTAGCAATTTTAATAACTTAAAAAAAGTTATGAATTTTTTAGAGGAAGACCAAAATTCAGCTTTTTGACGATTTTTCTTTTATTTTTTTTTTATTTTGTAATATGTTTATCCTTTAATGAAAACCTAATTATAGTGCAATATTGAAATTTTTTGAGTTTTTTTACGTACTTTATTCACCGAAAACATTATTCAAAATTTAAATTTGACTTGACTCCGCAAACGTAAATTCTTTTGTTTCTCGTGTTGGCATAGTGACATTTTACTGCTGTTTTTTGATATTTCAACAAGGTATTTTTATCATGGTTTTATTTAGTTAATAAAAAGTGCAAAATGAGTAAAAAAAGTAGAGAGTTCGAGTGCGTAAATAACCCGGACAATCTGGGCGACGTAAGTGATGAGCACGGAGAACGTTTTCACCAGCAAATGAAGGCTATGGAGCGGCGGTATCACGGATTCTGGGATGCAGCCATGATGGCTGATTACATTTGGTCCCTCATACGAGAAACGGAATACAAACAACCAAAAAACAAAGAAGGAGCCAGAATTTTTTAAACCTATGCTTATGACAACAAAATAAAACTTTCAATATCTTCAATGTTCAATATTTATTGTTCAATATTCAATATATAATTTAATTTCAATATTTAATGTTTAAAATAAAAATCAATGTTCAATATTAAATTTTGTATAATTCAATAAAATTATGAAAAAACGTAAAAATTCTCAAAAACCTGAATTTTGGTCTTCCACTGAAAAATTCATAACTTCGCCATTTATCCATGGATTTTTATGTTAAAAAGTATTTTAAATCAATTTAACACAAAATAAAGAAAAAATAGAAAAACAAAATATTTTTTTAAATTTTTAATAAAATTTTCCAAGGGCAGCTTTTTTTTCAAATTAAACATTAAAAAACACAAAATACAACATAATTAATAATAATAATTATTAATTATAAAGAAAACTGTCACTGATAAACTTCGTACAGTTTATCATTTTCATGGGCGAAGCATTATTTTAAATTAAAGTTTGTTTTCCAAACTTTTTGATTATAAAATTTCATATTGCCACGTTTTTGCATCTTTTTTAAGTGTCTATTATTGTCTGGGAACAACTATACTTAATACGGCAAATTTAATGACTTCCAAAAGGTCACGTAAATCTATTGATAAGGCAAAATTATAACTCTACCTAATTTTAAGGACTGCAATTAAAAATCTTCCCATGTTAATAAATGACAATTAAATATTATTTAACCTAGGATACGTATGTAGTACCTACGAATTTTCCGAAAGAAATTGTAGACATTTAAAATAAATTATATATTTTAAGTTCTTCCAAGCGGAAATAAAAATTGCTTACCATTGTTTTCACTGTATCCCCATTCCAAAGTCATTCTAAAAAAACAAAATATTAATAAAAAAAAATATCAATAGTTTTATTGGGTAAGCAAGCATTCTAAGAGGATTGAGGTGAATAATTTAAGTTGTGCAACACCCCATCCAATAAATAAGCGAAATGTATTTTGCATGGGATGTTTAACTAAAAATAAACAGATATGTTGAAGGATTTAAAGTTTTGTTATTTCCACCCAAATAAGCAAGGAAATTAGCTTATTCTGTTTTAAAATCCAAAAATGAAGGCCTAACATGTAGAAGCGCTACTTTCTTAAATTAATCATATGGGTAATAAAAATATTTATCAAATAATATTTATTTTAAATGGGTATTTTTAGCTTTATATCTCAATAATTTATAGCGAATTTATATTAGTACCAATATAAATATCAATCTGGTTTGCCAAAAGCTGGAATATAAAAATAAAATTGGAGGATTTTATTTCAAGAAAAAATGTAGAAATATTTAATCCGATTTTAAAAATTTTAAATTTATACGGGGTGGTCCAAAAGAAGCCTTAATTTAAGAATCAATAAAAAACGTTGAAATAATATTAATTTTCTTAATAAACTGTATCGAAATTTTAACAGTTTCAGAGATACAAGATGTTGAAGGTGCATAAGAAAATTAATATTATTTTAACGTTTTTATTAATTTTTTGAACTTTTATAACTAGCAAAATAACAAAAAATTTAACAACACAAGAAAAAAAAATACCAGTAGATATTAATAATAAAAAATACAAATAAAAAACTTTTTTTGCTATTTTTAAACTAAATTACTAGAAATATAACCAATTACAAAAAAAAATAAGAAAACATTTAAAATTTTGAAAAATATGAATTAAAGTTTCAGGGGAACAGAAAAAGATATCGATTTAAATTTTAAAAGAGTTTAAAATCCATTTAAGTCTATTTTTCTAAAATATTTTGAACCCAATTTCACTTGTGTTCACATTGTTATTTTAAACGAAAAATTCCACCCCAATATTTGCAAACCTAATAAAAAAAAAGTTATAGGCTATTTTTGATTGGCGAGTATTTCTCAAATTTTAACAAAAAAATATAGGACATGGTATAGTAATTTTATTCAGAATTTTATACAAAATTTAAAAATGTAAAAATATATGGCGTGTCATAAAAGAACAAACAAAACAAAAGAAAAAATATTTAAAAATATTCAGGAACATTTAAAAATTTGCATACTTTTTAAAGTTAGGACTTTATTCTAGTTTTTATAAAAGAACAAAAAAAACTAATAAAAATACAGTATAAAAAATAAAGTTAGTTTTTATTGTAAGGGTCAATTTAAATAAAACCTTATACAATTCATTTTTAAAGAACTTTTTTTAATATAAAAAAATATATAAATTTTATATCAAAATTTTATAATAAAATATAAGTATTCATTTTTTAAGAAATAAAAATTAAATCCTTTTAAGTCAAATTTAACATTTCATAAAATATTCTGAAATAACTTTACATAGTAAAAACAAAAGTTAAATTTTAACAAATTTGGCCGTTTAAAATCTATAATTTAAAATTAAATTCCAAAAATTCCACCCGCATATTCGCTAACCTATAGGGTATTATAATAACAAAAAAGTTATAGGCTATTTTTGATTGGCGAGTATTTCTCAAATTTCAACTAAAAAATTAATAACTCGAAAATTATTTACTTTAGGTATAGGACATGGTATAGTAATTTTAGTTTAAAAATGTAAAAATATATGGGGTGTTCTATTTGAAATAACCAAAATATTTCGGTTAAACCGGAAGTGGCTTTTGTTTAAAATATTTTAGAAAAATAGACTTAAATGGATTATAAACGCTTTTAAAATATTTGAAAGAAAAAAATATTTAGAATCATTTAAAAATTTGCATACTTTTTTTTAAAAAAGGACTTTATTCCAGTTATCATAAAAAAGCAAAAAATACCCATTACATTTTTTATTGACTTATCTGCTTTTTAAAATTATTATTATTTTTATTATATACTAATAAAGCAAACATTCAAGTTTTTATACACCATTTTTAAGGTAATGATATTTAAATTTTGTCTAGATTAGTTATTAAGCTTTTTTGTTAAAAATACAGTATACATTTTTAAAGTAATAAAAATTTGCATACTTTTTTTTTAAAAAGGACTTTATTCCAGTTATCATAAAAAAGCAAAAAATACCCATTACATTTTTTATTGACTTATCTGCTTTTTAAAATTATTATTATTTTTATTATATACTAATAAAGCAAACATTCAAGTTTTTATACACCATTTTTAAGGTAATGATATTTAAATTTTGTCTAGATTAGTTATTAAGTTTTTTTTTTAAAAATACATTATAAATTTTTAAAGTAATAAAAATTAAATCCTTTTGAGTCAAATTTAACTTTTAATAGAAATATTTTGTAAAAAATAATAAAAAAATATTTTTATAGCTTATTTTGTATATTTTAGCAAAAATCTTTGTTTTGTAGTAATAATAAAAAAATTATACTATATTTTGTAATAAAAAATACTAAATACCTACATGAAATAAAATAAAAATATTTTTACCTATTTTTTAAACTAACAAAAATTTTAACAAATTGGCTGTTTAAAATCCATAACTAATTTTATAAAATATGTCGTTAAAAATGTCTTCAAACAACATTTTAAAAGGAACCTTGACTACTTTTTCACTGGGTTAGTAATTTATCAAACACTCTACAAATTCCTCCTACCTGTTGGTGTAAAAATCAAAGTAAAAAGCACTATATCAACGAAACAAACAACAGGTGATTGCTAGCGAGTAAAGCTCCGTAAAAGAAACGTCTTGTTGCGAACGGCCGCTTCCAGACAACCAGACACCGCACTAAAGGTTTGTTGATGTTGTCCAGTCCGCGGCGAAGGCCCCCACCAACCTGACCCATCGCCGTGTATAATACACATAGCATGCCATGGCGATCTTCCTTCGCAAGCAATAAGCGATACCATGGAGATTAAGATAAAAGTTAGTAAGTTAGTTGTTAAAGGGTCATATGTTTAGAATTTATGTCTTAAAATGCGAAAGTAGGTATGTGTTGATGACAAATATAAAGATAGAAGTGTAAAAATAGAGTATAAACAAAACGATTTAAATAACAGCAGGTTTAAATAAAGAGTGCGTATAAATACTACATTTTACAAATGATAAAACTTAAATTTTAAAATTTTTTAAGATAAAAACTTTGTGAAGACATTTTTCACTATCCCATTTTCTATTTATAGAATATCTTAGTTAGTTGATGAAGGATTATCATTATTATCTTAAACATGAATTTTTAACACTTGCTCATATCATACTAAGTATTTCATTTTTATCTTTAAACAAAACGCTATTGTTTTTGCCTTGGGTAGTAAGCAAACAAAAAATTCCAAAATCAAAATATCGTTGCTTATACTCACGATCATTATAATATTTTTTATTAAATTTGCAAAGCACGGTTTAAAAAAATTTCAATGCCTTTTCACATTTTTCTACATCGGCGGAAAACATGTTTTGTATGTTTATGTTTATTATCTATAATGTTTAATTATTATGTATTTACAATTTCTTGTAATCATACTTTTTTCAACATTAAATATTCAAAACGAATAGGGTAAAACACCCAATAGTTGGCAGGTACCCAGTTATTGGCAACGAGGAAAAATAAATCATTTTATAAGCAAATTTCCATATTAAGTTTTATACGTACTTACATTTTTATAACCAGGGGCAACAGCACCATCCCTTGAATGTCAATCAGGTTTGACATTACTCAATGTTTTAATGTAAACGTTATCGAAAAATTGCCCACCTTTCGCGCGGCAAAAAATCGCCGTTTTGGTAGTAATTGGTAAATTTTAAATACTTATTTTTTGCCTTAATAATGCATGTTAATAAAAGTTAAACAATTTGTTATATATTTAGAGTCATTATACAAAATTTTAACAATTTTTTATTTAATTATTTTACTTTTTAAAGTGAATTTTCAATATGCCCACTACTGGGTATCATATTTTAGTGCAAACCACTTATTGGCATTACTGCCAATAACTAAATTACTTGAAATTTGACCTGTACCAATAATTGGCGATTGATTATTTTTTACCAAATATTGAAAAAGAAAATAGCTAATACAAAAATAAGAAATCATATAAACAAAAATCAACCGACATTTTTTCTTCAACTGAACCAAGTACCAAATCAGGCCTTCCTATCAATAATGTGATATACAACAAAGGACTTTGTGTCTCATGTTCCAAAAATTTCTCTTTGTTAAATTATGGCATACAGTGTCAGACTTGTACAAAATCATACCATGAAAAGTGTTTAAAAAAACATGGTACTTCACTACAAAGAATTTTATAAATGCAAAGTTTGCAAGGCTTTGGAGGCGTTTAAAATTAAACTAAATTAACAATATTTTATCTTGGTTTGTTAGGATTAATTGCCTATTTTGTATCATTTTAGTGAGCAGTTGTTTAGAACCATTTTCTTAGTTTTTTCATTTATTTATTTTGTACATAACTTAGCTAATCAAAAAAATAAAGAATCAATTTATATTTTACTTAAACCTTTTATAAAAAAAAAATCGTAATTAAAAAATAGAATTTGGAAAATGGTTAATAGTTGGATCCAGTTACATGCCAATGACTAGGATAAGCGTCAATTACTGCATTTTATCTTTTGCCAAACACTGGGACTTGATGCCAATAATACGTTAAGTTATAATGCCAATGACTAGAGATATCTGCCAATGACTGGAAAAGTTACATAAAATAAAAAAAATAATTTTTTTTACTTATAAAACTTATTTTTGAGTTATGTTTTGTTTGAAAACTATAAAAGAATCTTTAAAGACTTTCCATTTAAAGGGATAATTAGGTTGCTTTACTTTTAGTTACATAAAAACTACAAATATTCTGATAAGCTGCTTAAGGTGCCAATAACTGGGTGTTTTACCCTACGTATAGAGTATTGGATAGGATGCTCACACTGCACTAAGTGGCATGTGAATATAAATAAATCAGTTTATTACAATTTTAGGATGCCTTTACTTACTTACTAAATTTACCTGCATGTTTATTTAAACCATTTGGTTATTTTATTGTGTTTAATTTAATAACTTTATTTCCACTTTTTTAATAAATTTACCAACAATTGCTTTTGTTACGGCAAAAAGATTTTTATAAAAACTATTTATCTACAAACGCTTCCTTAAGTAATAGCATTTGCATTAATTATAAAGTAAATTTAGATTATATTTAAAAAAATAACACTCTTTCAGATGCAGAAACGCATTGATAAATATAGTTATTATTATTTGTCCAAAAAAACAGTTCTATACCGTTTACAAAAACGTTTTGTAGTATTAATGAAACCCTAATGGTATTATTCATAGAAATTTTGTAAATTTTACAAATCTCTTTTCGTTTTTCGACTTTTTTTATAGGTAATATTAATAAAATTTATGTAAATTTAACAACAAATTAATTGTTAATTCAATAAACTATTTTCATTGTAACAATGGTCACATTTTCAACCTACTGTTGGGTGTTGGGTAGTTTTTTTTTAAATAGTTGCAAGGCATTAATAGTATATTATGTATCAAGTTTTATAAACGTCATTTTAGTTACGAGTTTTATTAAGCACGAGCGAAGCTTGCAAGCGAGTGTTTAATAAAAACGAGTGTCTAGATAAGTTTATAAAACGAGTTGCATACTACACTTTATCTACGACGACCACAAAGAAGAATTTAAATCCAATTTTATTTGTTAAATATTTGACATTTGTCAAATGTCAACGGAATTAACGTCACTTTTCTCTAATTTATAATAAAGCTAACTTCAGCCCGTGACTAAAATGCCCAAAAGCCACTATTGCTAACTTCAGACCGTGACTAAAACGCCATAAAGTCACAGCTCGTCAATGTAGGAGTAGATAAAACAAATTATTTATTATAACAAAAAAATTAACTCATATTATATGATGTACTAAATAAAAAAAATACAAACTCACTTTTTAAACAACAAGTCTGCTTCTTTTATAGAATAGACCTTAAATATTTCTTTTACAAAACGTCGAAATTATAACACAAACTATGGATTATAAAGTTATGTTCACCAAGGAGAGCGCTGGCCCTTTCCCCCTCTTTTGAAGGAAGATAACAAAATTTTTGTTACCATTGCAAAACAATAGTAAATATTAAAACAGTCTTTTTATAGCAATAAAATATTTTTGTTATTGTTCTTAACGTAAGCTATTAACAAAGATTTTCTAACTGAAATAAAATTAATTTGAATTACAACGATAGTAATTTAAAAAAGACAAAAATGCGATAGTAAAATGAACAAATTTTACTATAACAACTGCGCATTACTTTATGTAAGCATATTTTTTAAATTATTTCTTTTAGGCAAAACTCATCTTATAGGTTTATATATAAAGCTGTATTAAGACTAATTTTTCTATGCAGGTAAAAAAGAAATCTGCAAAACCATCACTTTTTAAACCAGTTTATTAATTAACGTTAATTTACCAGCGAGTTAAAATATATTTGGTAAAATATATCCAAATTAACCAAAGCTGTGGTTAATTTACCAAAAAGTTATATTAAAAATTAAACTAAACCAAAATATTTCTAAAAAAATGACGAGTCTTAACTATTTTTAAAAGTTAAAGGTTAAAAATAGAAGTTAAAATAACGTTATGTAACTTCTAAAAGAACCTACTTTTTAACTTATAAGTAATATTTCTAACTAGTTAAATATTTGGTTCACTTATAGTCAATTTAAATTCTTAAAATAACCTATATGTAAATTTAGGTTATTTCAAGAGTTCAAATTGACTATAAATAAACCCATTATTTAACTAGTTAGTAATATTACCAATAGGTATTTTTTACTAGTTAAATTATACTAAAAAATATCCTTTGAATTTACCTAAAGGTTATAGAAACCGGTTGGTAAATTTAATTATTAAAACCTTATTATTATTCCCACGATGTTTGGGACTTTTTATCCCGTTCGTCAATATTAAAAATGGAGAATAAAAACCACACGCGTGTAATGAATTATTATTTTATAATAAGATTATTATGCTTATAAGCTTATTACGAGCATAATAAACAATATTTTAAAATAAATTTAATTACAAGTGGCTTTGACGCACAAATTTTAATTGTTGAGTACCGTGAAATGCCCCATATACATTCTAAATCCCAAAAAATGTACTATTTAAGCATTAAATATTGATATTTAAACATATATTTATTTAATTTAAAAATATATTTTAAATTATAATACAAGTGAAATTTACATTTCATGATTATTAAATTTTGTTATCTGAAACAGTTACTGCAAAATTCCCACCACACAATATTAATAAAGGGTTAAAAAAATCAATAAACATTTCAGCAAATTCAAGTAGGTACAACTTGGTACAAAGAAAACTGGAATTTTTATTTCTCTAACACCTGTGCGAAAAATTACACTTTGAGATAGTAATTATTATAATCCAGTCTTTAAGTTTTAATAGTATATTATGTATCAAGTTTGATACGAATTTAATTTAGGCACGAGCGAGCTTGCGAGCGAGTTCTTAAATTAATGAGTGTATAGAAAAGTTTATAAACGAGGTGCATACTATACTTTTTCTACGACAAATACTTATTATTAACTTAAAATGATTTAAATCAAATATTTTTATACAGCGCCATCTATGAAACAATAGGGGAATCTGTGTGTCACCGTCAAATGTCAAATTTTTATAGTTTATAAACACAGATTATAAATCGAAATGTATTTCTTGAAAATGGACAGTTTTTTACAGTGAAAGTAAAGAAAATGTTTTATGAGCACTTTACAGTGGAGTCCGTGCCCGAATTTAAGTTTTAGTTTACTGCC